ATTCATTAATTTCAAAAAACAGGTTATGAGCGTTTAGTATATGTTTTCTGTGGTCTGGATTCTTCAGTAAGGTTGAGTTAAATCTCCATATTCGAGGGATCGAAGAATGTTGATTGTGGTCCAGAGTGATGGAAATTGGAGCGTGGTCCAACCATGTTATTGTGCCGATCTTGGAGGAGGTGATATGTTGTAAGGTCCACTTGTCTGTGATAAAAAAGTCAATTCTGGAATAGGAGAGGTGGGCCAGAGAATAATAGGTGTAGTCTTTTTCTGTACCGTATTGGCATCGCCATATGTCGTAGAGGTAGTTGTTTTGTAGAAAACGGTTAAAAGTATGTTTAAAGGAGCATTTACTGGAAGATGTGATGACGCCGTTCTTTTTCTTGTAGTTGGTTGCCATAAATATTGATGAGAAGTGGTGTAGGTTAAATTTGGGAATTTTGGAGGAGGTAAAGTGGGATTCTTGAAGGAAAAGAACATCAGTTTGCAGAGAGCGAGCTTCTTTTTGCAGTTCTCTTGTAAGGAGAGTTGAGGCCTCGGACATTCAAGGATGATATGCTAATCATATTGTTGGGTATATACGGGTTGCATGGAGTAGGAGAGATAATTCGTAAGTTGTGTGAAAGGTTGAATATTTCTTTGTCGTGGATGTAAAGCTTCCATAGAGAAGAAGTAGTGATCTTGATATGTTCGCTGGTCTGAAGAGGTTATTTCCGCTTGTAGTAGAGGTGTTTGAGGGAAAGGAGGTTGATGTGAGCGACTGGTGGTATGAGGTGGGTAGGGGGTTAAAAAAAAAACTTGTGAAAAATACAAGTAACATATGTAGCAGATGTTGCTACTGTGTAATGGGGGAACAAAAACATACATGACAACATGAAACAAAGGAGTCATGTTGACGAAAAACTTGAAGTTTAGAAATGTTCGGTTAGGGGGCCGTCTGTCAGCCTTTAGTGGTTTTGTGATGATACCCAGTGTGTCGGGTAGTAAATGGTGTTAGGGATTTTTTGGTTCAGGACTATTCTGCTTCCATTTGTTGTGGTCGGGTTGAAGTGGATTGGTGGGAGTCCACAGGTAGGATGTTCCATGTCTTCAGGAGTTCTATGCCTGCTTCTAGGTTTTTGACCGTGTAGAGCCTTTCTTGATGCTTAACGATGAGCTTCGTGGGGAAACCCCATTGGTAGCCGATACCATGGTTCCGCAGCACTTTGGTTATGGTAATAAGTTTCTTGCAGTTGAGAAGTGTAGCTTTGGATAGATCTGCAAACAATTTTATATTCGCCTGAGAAGCCGGAATTGAGGTAGGGTTTCTAGCAGCCGTCATGATTTTTTCCTTCACGTGGTAGAAGTGCACATGTGCTAGGATATCTCTAGGTATTGCGGGGCGGTAGGAACGATGGTTTTGGTATCCTGTGTGCCCGGTCTATGGCAAGTTCCACGTCCGTTAGAGAAGGGATGAGGTGTTTCATGTATTGCTGGATGTAAGGTACTATGTCACCTGTAGTGATTGCTTCTGGTATTCCGTGGAATTTAATATTGTTGCGCCTGGAGCGGTCTTCTAGGTCTGCCAATTTTAGGTTAATTTGTTCTATGTCAGCTCCGTGGTCTGTGTGGGCGTCTATGAGGTCATTGTGTGCCATGAACATTTCCCCCCATTCTGTTTTCATTATAGCGGATGCGTCGATCCTGATTTTGTACCGCAGATGAGATTTGCGATATAGTTGCTGTCAGGTCGTCATGTAGTGTTTGTCGCAGGGATAGTAGCATACTTTTCATTGAAATTTCAGTGATTGGATGGTCAGAAGCAGGAAAGTTTTCAATTAAAGATGGAGTAGAAATGGCAGTAATTGTAGGAGGAGAGGAAGGTTGCAGGTCAGAAAACAGATTGTATGTCCAGTCTGGGTCTGGACTTAGCAGGACTACTTGTAGAAGGAGACAGGGGCGGAGAGGACTCACCCTGGTCTCCTGGGTATAGTGGTTCCTTGAGCCTGGAGTCTGTGTTCTGCGCTGTGTCTCCCTCTGCTTGTGTGAGGAGACTGTCAGCTGAGGAGCCGGCGCCATCTTGGATGCAGGGGCTGAGAGCAGGGGAAGAAGCTTGTCAGCTTCCCTGGCTGCCCTGGTGATCTGCAGCATCAGGGCATGGTCCGGAGGATAGTAAGAGCCTCTGTATGCCCTTATGTCTCTAGGGAGAGGCTGCGGTGTCTCTGGGTCCGGTGTGTGCCACGGTTAGGCTGACGGCGGGACGGAGCTGTCACTCACGAGCTGTCATCCCGGAGCCAGCCACGCATGCGCCCCCCTATGTTCACCTTCTAGACACCTTTTAGGTAAAAAAAATGTGCATTTAGTATTTTTGTCTACAGGAGCCTGGAAAGCATTGCACTATTGATCAGTAGATTACTTGTGCAATGCAGGTCTGCTGTCAGATCTGTCAGCATATCTACTTGCCTGTACAGGATGTAGGAGCAAGCAGATATTCTGACAGGAAGCTATAATGAACTACCCCGGAGCTCTGCAGTGCTATGGTAGTTCATTGAAAAACTACAAGCCCACAGCCGCTAAGGCTGTTGGGACTTGCAGTTCATTAATTCACAGAAGACTGTGAATGAATGATGCAGCCATGTGGGCTGAACCCTGAACAGCTGAGCTGTTTTCAAAATGAACAGATAGTACAGGGAGACTTCTCCCTGTACTATCTGTCAGAGGAAGGGAGGATCAGCAGCGGGCAGCAGCTGCAGCTATGGGAACATTGAACATTTTCCAAAGGTGAACTTATCCTTTAATAAAGGTACACACCAGAAGCCCAGCACAGCATAATGGCAGCTGAAGAACTTTTTTTTTTTTTTTCATACTGTCATCAGAATAGTTCAGTGTCACCATAGTAACACTGTACTACTATGTGGGTGATCAGGTTTTTTTGACTGTTATAGGCAATAGTTTTAACTGTCAAGAATGGCTTTCATTCATTACATCTTGCTTAACCTCCCTGGCGGTATGATTATTTCAGATTTTTGATGCTGAAAGCGGTACCATTTTTTTGCATGGAAATATGTATTTTTTTTATTGTAGGCTGTAATTTTTAGGAAAAACTCACTGAAATCTGTCCGAACAAGAGTCTAGTAAACATCCCGGGTATGATAAAATTTGAAACACAAAATCATAAATTATAATTTAATAAATAATCATAAAAATAATATAAAAATAATAAAAAATTTAATTCAATAATATAATCAAACCAAAAACACTGAAATGTGAAATATAGCGCCAAGTTCGCACATCTCTGAGCAAAGTTGCAAAATCGTTTTCAGTGTCTGATGACGAATTTCCCCCACGAATCATTATCACTCAATTCTGCAAGTGGTTCTGATTTACTATCGCTGTTCTCTAGCTGATCTAAACCGCTTTTGACCTAAAGGGACACTTTTTGGACGCCATGGACATTTCTCAGTTTCCAGGCAGAAAGAACAGACAAAATGCAGGCAGGGCACAGGACAAAGCACTAGGTGTTTTACTATGAAAAATGTAAAAAAAAAAAAATGACATTTTTTAAAATTTTTAAATTTCCCGCCGCCGCCGGCGGCGGCGCCCGTACGTCCCGACGTCACAGGGACAGGACACAGAAGCCGGATGCCGGCATCGGCCGGAGGAGATGGCCGGGGACGCTGCAGGGGACACATCGTGGGAGCGCAGGGTAAGGTAAGTGAAGACAACATGCCGGAGCAGTGCCGCAGGGTAAGCCCGAGTGTAGCTCGGGGTTACCGCTTTTGGTACTGAAATGTTACCCCGAGCTACACTCGGGAATACCGTCAAGGAGGTTAATATTGTGATACTGTGATTGACTATAGCTAATCACATGGTACAGGGTGGCAGGTACCATGTGACAGCCGTGGACCAATCACAGCATCACAATAGTAAGCAAGCTGTCATTAATGGAAGCCATTCATAACAGTTTTGCTTGCATTGTAATTGTGATCACTACCTATTGGTCACAGCAATTACATGATATTCTGGCCACTCTCAGCAGCCGGGTAACAAGCACCGTGATCCGCTTTGTCATGGTATTGCCCCACTGAGTGCCCAATGGGGTGTGCCAATGCACATGTGTTAAGCAACATAAAGGTATGTAGCTTAGCCTGTGGCTGCTGCCCACCTGCAATAAGTGTACTGTGGGCAGCAGAAAGTGGTTAAATTGTATATATTTTTGTATTTATTTTTAACATTTATTGTGTTTCAAATCAGAACTTCCCAATTTCTTACCAAGGTGAGACTAATGTCTGGGCCCTGCTCCTTTCCTGGATTCTGTGCATTTCTAGAAATGCCGCAGGGCCTTTTGGTTCCGACAGCCCTGGGGCACTTTTGAGTGCACTTAGGTTGCCCTGTATATCTGAGCATGTGCTAGGTATCCCCACGAATGTGCAAAGATGCTTAGCACAGAAATGACAAAGCCTCCTGTCTTTGCACACTCACAAAAAAAATCCTGTGCATGCATAGATATTTCAAAGTGCTGTGGCATGATCTGGCAGCTGGCATCCCTATGCACCATAATGGCAGCACTGGAGGTGGGTTGTAGCCAGATAGAACCCGGGGTTAGCAAGCAATTTATACATTGCTATATAGATGGAGGCTTGCCAGAAATTAGAGTTAGGGCCCACTTTATGCAGAAGGGCTTTAATGAGGCAGTGTGGCTTTCCCATACAGTATCTCAAAAAAGTGAGTACATCCCTCACATTTTTGTAAATATTTTATTATATCTTTTCCTGTGACAACACTGAAGAAATGACACTTTGCTACAATGTAAAGTAGTGAGTGTACAGCTTGTATAACAGAGTAAATTTGCTGTCCCCTCAAAATAACTCAACACACAGCCATTAACCTCCTTGGCGGTATTCCCGAGTGTAGCTCGGGGTAACATTTCAGTACCAAAAGCGGTAACCCCGAGCTATACTCGGGCTTACCATGCGGCGCTGGGCATGTGTTCTTCACTTACCTTTCCCTGCGCTCCCACGATGTGTCCCCTGCAGCGTCCCCGGCCATCTCCTCCGGCCGATGCCGGCATCCGGCTTCTGTGTCCTGTCCCTGTGACGTCGGGAGTACGGGGGCCGCCGCCGCCGTCGGGGAAATTTAAAAATTTTAAAAAATGTCATTTTTTTTTTTTTTTTTTTCATTTTACACAGTAAAACATTGCTGTTTCAATATTTTCATATTGTCCCAGTGCTTTGTCCTGCGCCCTGCCTGCATTTTGTCTGTTCTTTTGCCTGGAAACTGAGAAATGTCCATGGCGTCCAAAAATAGGTCAAAAAGCAGTTTAGATCAGCTAGAGAACAGCGATAGTAAATCAGAACCACTTGCAGAATTGAGTGATAATGATTCGTGAAATTCCATCAGAAACTGAAAACGATTTTGCGACTGAGCTCAGCGATGTGCGAACTTGGCGCTCTATTTCACATTTCAAGTGTTTTTGGTTTGATTATATTATTGAATTAAATTTTTTATTATTTTTATATTATTTTTATGATTATTTATTAAATTATAATTTATGATTTTGTGTTTCAAATTTTATCATACCCGGGATGTTTGCTAGACTCTTTTTGGACAGATTTCAGTGAGTTTTTCCTAAAAATTACAGCCTACAATAAAAAAAATACTTCCATGCAAAAAAAAATGGTACCGCTTTTCAGCACCAAAAATCTGAAATAATCATACCGCCAGGGAGGTTAATGTCTAAACTGCTGGCAACAAAAGTGAGTAAGTAAGTAAGTGAAAATGTCCACATTGGGTCCAAAGTGTCAATATTTTGTGTGACCATCATTATTTTCCAGCACTGCCTTAGCCCTCTTCGGCATGGAGTTCACCAGAGCTTCACAGATTGAAACTGGAGTCCTCTATCACGCCTCCATGATGACATCATGGAACTGGTGGATGAGGATCGAGGATGCTCCACAAATGTTCAATAGGGTTTAGGTCTGGAAACTTGCTTAACCAGTCCATCACCTTTACCCTCAGCTTCTTTAGCAAGGCAATGGTTGTCTTGGAGCTGTGTTCGGGGTCATTATCATGTTGGAATATTGCACTGCAGCCCAGTCTCTGAAGGGAGGGGATCATGCTCTGCTTCAGTATGTCACAGTACATGTTGGCATTCATGGTTCCCTCAATGAACTGTAGCTTCCCAGTGCCGACAGAACTCATGCATCCCCAGACTATGACACTCACACCACCATGCTTGACTGTAGGCAAGACACACTCGTCTTTGTATTCCTCACCTGGTTGCCACCACACACGTTTGACACAATCTGAACCAAATATGTTTATCTTGGTCCCATCAGTCCACAGGACATGGTTCCAGTAATACATGTCCTTAGTCTGCTTGTCTTCAGCAAATTGTTTGCGGCCTCTCTTGTGCATCATCATTAGAAGAGGGTTCCTTCTGGGATGACAGCCGTGCAGACCAATTTTGATGCAGTGTGCATCACATGGTCTGAGCACTGACAGGTTGACCCCCCCACCCCTTCAACCTCTGCTGGAATGCTGACAGCACTCATACATATATTTCCCAAAGACACCCTCTGGATATGACGCTGAGCACGGGCACTCAGTTTCTTTGCTCAACCATGGCGAGGCCTGTTCTGAATGGAACCTGTCCTCTTAAACAGCTGTATGGTCTCGGCCACCGTGCTGGAGCTCAGTTTCAGGGTCTTGGCAATCTTCTTATAACCTAGGACATCTTTACGTAGAGCAACAATTCTTTTTTCAGATCCTCGGAGAGTTCTTTGCCATGAGGTGCCATGTTGACCTTCCAGTGACCAGTATGAGAGAGTGAGAGCAATAACACCAAATTTAACACACCTGTTCCCCATTCACACCTGAGACCTTGTAATGCTAAGGAGTCACATGACACTGGGGAGGGAAAATGGCTAATTGGGCCAATTTGGACATTTTCACTTAGGGGTGTACTCACTTTTGTTGCCAGCGGTTTAGTTATTAATGGCTGTGTTGAGCTATTTTGAGAGGACAGCAAGCTTTACACACACTACTTTACATTGTAGCAAAGTGTAATTTCTTCAGTGTTGTTACTTGAAAATATATAATAAATTTACAAAAATGTGAGGGGTGTACTCACTTCTGTGAGATACTGTATATTTGCAAGTGTTGTGCAACTAAAACCTTGGTTTTTAAACACAAATTGTTGGTGCAATTTGTTTTGTTTTTTTTTTGTTGGCTAGCTGGAAGTATGCTTGGAAATGTTTGTATTGTGTTTGTTCTGTGCAAAGCCATTCCATTTGCACCTTGTTTTGAAAAGGTAGTTATAAATTGATTGGATCTGTTCCTTCTGTGCATGGGCACCTTATTTTGTGTATTATTCTATGTGGTTTCCTGTTACTTTTAGGGATAGGGGTTGGACCACTAGGGGAACCAATATATTTCAAATTGGTACTGCTTGGCACAACCCACATATTTCACAAGTATTTGCATCCCCCCCCCCCCATCCTATTCATCACTACTAACATCACCACCATCAATTCCGCCCCGCAAGCCAAAGTCCTTGGAGTCATTCTGGACTCTAACCTCTCCTTCCAACTTCATGTCAAATCACTTACAAACACATGCAGACTCCACCTCCGCAATATCGCCAAAATACGCACCTTCCTTACCCCAGACACCACTAAACTACTTGTACACTCCCTGATTATCTCACGCCTTGACTACTGCAACTCCCTCCTCACCGGCCTACCCCAGTGCAGGCTCTCCCCGCTTCAGACCATCCTCAACTCAGCGGCTAGACTCATCCACCTCACCACCCGCTCCACCTCTGCCACCCCCCTCTGCCTATCCCTCCACTGGCTCCCTATCGCCCAACGCATCAAATTCAAAAACTACTCACTCTGACCTACAAAGCCATTCACAACACTGCCCCTAACTACCTCACCAACCTGATTCCCAAGTACCACCCTACCCGTACCCTTCGCTCTTCACAGGACCTCCTTCTATCTTGCTCCCTGGTCTCCTCCTCACACGCACGTCTGCAAGACTTCTCCAGGTCCTCCCCCATCCTCTGGAACTCACTACCCCAATCCATCAGACTGTCACCTTCCCTCCTCACCTTCAGGTGCTCCCTGAAAACCCACCTCTTCAGGGAAGCCTACCCCACCCTCACCTAACTGCTGCTCTCCTTCATTCCTCCTACCACTCCATCCCCCACAGCCACTTCCTCCTGTACCACTACCCCCTCCCTCCTAGATTGTAAGCTCGAAAGAGTAGGGCCCTATAACCCCTCGTGTGCTGTTTGTAGTTGCTGTAATGTTTCATGTATTGTCCCCCCCTCTATTGTACAGCGCTGAGCAAACCCTTTGGCGCTATATAAACTCAATGTAATGTAATGTAATGTAATCAGCTCATCTGCAAGCCAAGCCCACTATATGCATTTTATATAGATTTTGCATAAAAATATTTTACATACACTAAAGATAAATATGGCAGCAGAACTCATAAAAAATAGGTCTATAAAACTGCATTTGCATACTTGTCATTACCAAATGGTGCATCATAAATAGCTTTGCTCTGGATTTTTTTTCCCCTGTGCCAGCATATATTTTTTTATCGTAAGGGAGTTTGCACTTGCCTGGGGTGTTTTAGGGCCACCCCCTTTAGTTAGTTTACTTCTCATTTTTTTTAGAGGATTCCCGTTCAATGACTTATTTGTTATTTCAGACTGGGGTAGGCCTTCTTTTTATATATATATATAATATAGGTCTACTATATAAGACTAACTTGGATCTTCTGTATTGAATTTGCATAAATCTGCTATATACAGCTAATACGTGTCTGCTGTATAGTATTTGAATTAAGTCAGCAATATATAACTTGATGTAGATCAGCTGTATACAATTTGATGTGCGTCTACTATTTGAGGTTTTGTGCAGATCTACTATGTGACACTAGACGGAATTCATCTGTATAGACCTTGGTGCAGGTCACTTGTTTGGACTTCCATATGAGTCTATTGTTTGAAGCTACCCAGTGTGCTGGGTTCTGCTGCATTGTATTTAACAAAAGACCTTGCTACTTGTTTTATAGCTTAGTACAGGTCTCTGTATATATACGATTTACAGGTGTGAGTCTGCTGTTTGGAGCTATGTGCAGATCCACTGCATAACATTTGGCGTCAGTCAGCTGTACAGAGCTTGCCACAGGTACGCTGTATATACTTTGGTATAGATCTACATTTAAAAGCTTGATGTGGGTCTGCTGTATGGTGCTTGACAAAAATCAGCTGTAATTAAATATCAGTCATTAGACTTCCACCTGCACCAACAGACATTGGTAATACAGTTCTCAAACAAATATACCCAGTATGCTGGAAAATGTCTGCAGCAACCCTTAATCACCCTACACCAGAAAATCTGCACCAACCTTTTTTGTATACGTGGAATACGAGATGAATTTTGGGAACTGACCATATGTCCCCAGGCTCCGGTCCCACTGCTGCTGCTCCCTTCCCCTTCTAGCCTGTGACTGCCAGTCCTCTGGTCCTCAGGCAGAGTCTGGGGCAGCTGCGGGTCCTTGCATACCTCTCCAGGTCCTTGCTTCTTCTCTCTCCTTCCTCGGCCACTTCCCCTAGCACACCAGCTCCAGACTCACATGGGAGCAGACTCCCATTCCGCTCCCCCAGCACACCGACACCGCTCCCTTGCCGCACCACCGTCCTCCACCGCTCCGGATCAGATGACACCCGAGCTCCATTTCCTTACTCCAGGGAAGGGTAAGCTGTTTCGGCACTTAGGGCACAGCACCTCATACTCCTTCTAGCAGGCCTCCCAGCCATGCTGCTACGGCTTCCTGCTGTGGCTCCTCCCCATTTCCCCCTCTGACCCAAAGTCCAGAATCACAAAATCAAGAGAACCAGGGCAAGTGCTTTATAAACATTAGAGGTGATCAATCAAGACTGTCACTCTGTAATATGGAGGAGGTAAAGGAAGCCCAATTTCAGAGATGAGAGGGGAACAAAGAAAAGTGGAACAGGAAGGGTCCTAAGTACATACCCTTTCAAAAAAGGATTTGATAGAAATATCCACGAAATTGGAGATGGTTGTCAAGAAGGAGATAGGGAACCTCCGAGGTGATCTGGGTCATGTACTGTCCCATTTGGAGGAATCGGAGAAAAGAGTAGAGGAACATACACTAAAAATTAAGAGATTAGAAATGCAAATAGAAGAGAGGCGATTAGATATGAGAGAAATATTTAAAATGGAAGATCAGGAGAATCGCAGTAGAAGGACTGATTTGAGGTTTAGAGGTATTCCAGAAGAAAAAGGACAAGAGGAAGACTTGCTGGGGAAAATGAAAAAAATTTGCAACCCAA